ACAGGCTGTTGACTCTCCCACATTTCTGGGTTTGGAACACTGGAAGACAAGTAGGGTCCTGCACCTCCATGTCACCTGGGAAGTCTCGAGGCAGGAGACCAGTGACACCGTGTGAGCTGAGAAGCTGTCCAGTTGCGCCGTGTGAAGTCAGAGCCTGTGTGGCAGCGGGAAGGAGAGAAGGTGAGGCCGAGAGAACCTAAGTGTGCCTAAGAAGCACCCCAGATACTCCTGAGTTAATAATAAGTCCCTTTTTGGCTAAAGCCAGCTGGGGTAGGTTTCTACATAAGCCGTCTTGTGTTTACAACATCCATCCCCCCACTCCCTGGACTGCTGTAACACTCACTGCCTGGGCCATTCATTTGGCATGAAAGTGTGTGCTGTCTTTTGGTTACTTAACCCTATTGCATTGGTGCAGGTCCTGTCTCTTCAAGAGATCTGCGTGGTGCTGAGAGCAGACCAGTAGCTTCCATTGCTCTGTGCCTGTGTGCCATTCACACAATGCTTCATAAATATTTGGCTGAACTGACTTTTTCAGTTTCATAAAGTTCAGCGTTCTGCTATTTGGCCGCTTGCATCCCAGTGTGTTTCTCCCAATGTATGCTGTTTTTTTAAACTTGTTAAAAATGTGTCGCTTGGGCAGTACTTACACAATGAATCACCACATGACTTCACATGCCCAGTGGCATTTGGATTCTAAAGTTAAATCACTGTTCTTCTAGTCTCACTATGGTTAATGTGACAAAAATATTAAGTGACATGCAGAATAGCTCTAGGAGATTCGATACTGACCGAAACTGGAATTCCGGAAGTTAAGAGTGAAGAAAACAACCAGAAGGAAATAATTAAATCATAGGCAGAAATTGATTTGTTAATTAGATAAAAAGTAAAAATTTGAATAATAAGCTTGATTCGGTAGATATCTGTATTCTTGTAGGACTTGCCAAGGACAGAAGTTCTTTTCAAACATCCATGGAAAAGTTTAAAATTGCCTGTGTAATAGATCACAAAGAAAATTTCCATAAATTCCCCAGAGTAGAAACCTTCTGACCCAAATGGTCTACAGATCCTTAACACAAGATTTAATGACAAATGTAGAAAAAAAAAATCTATTCACTTGCAATTTTAAAGGACTTTTTGCAATAGCTTTTACATTAAAGAGGAAATCAGAACTGAAATTTCCATAATCTATAGTCAAATAGGAAATCAAAACTGAAACATGGATTGCTTTAGAATAATGACAACACCTAGACACTACATGCCAAGTTCTGTATGATGCAGAGAGAGTGATAATTGGAGGGAAACTTATTTCCTTAAACACACTTATTAGAAAATAAGAAAAACTGAAACTAAGTTATCTAAGCATGCAGTTCAGGTTGCTAGGAAAAAGAGAAGCAAAAATAAACCTAAATCTAGCAGAAGGTAAGAATTAAAGACAAAATGGATGAAATAACAAACAAACACCAGGTGTCTCAAAAGCTGATGATTGATAAAATAGATAAAATTTGTGTAAGTCTGATTAAGGTAAAAGAGCTCAAACTGGTGATTTTAGAAACAAGAAGAGAACATGATTATAGAAACAGAGGTTATTAAAGAATTTAGAGAATCCTATGTGCAACTGGATTAAATCTGGATGAAAATTACAATTCTCAGGGAAATTATAAATTATCTCAATTGACTCAAGAAATATTATCAAATCCAAATAGACCACCCATATTGGAAAAAAAACTAGTTTAAAATCTACCCACAGTGGAGTGCCTGGCTGGCTTAGTTGGTGAATGAAGCATGTGACTCTAGATCTCAGGGTTCTGATTTCAAGCCCCAGGTTGGGCATAGAGCCTACTTGAAAAAAAAAAAAAGAAGTAAAATCTACCCAAGGAAAAGAAATGAGGTTTTATGGTAAGATCTTACAAACTCATTCCATGAGGCTGGCATAATGCTGATACCAAAGTGGATAAGCATAGAACAACCAAGAAGGAAACCAAAAGCTAAATTTGCTTATAAACACAGATTTTTAAAATCTTAAGTGAAATTGGATCAGTGTATTAAAGTAATGCAAGGATGGTTCAACATTAAGATATTTGTTAATGAAATTCACTATATTAATACACCAAAGAGCAAAAAGTTCTTTTTTTTTTTAAAGATTTTATTTAGGGTGCCTGGGTGGCTCAGATGGTTAAGCGTCTGCCTTCGGCTCAGGTCATGATCCCAGAGTCCTAGGATCGAGTCCCGCATCGGGCTCCCTGCTCCTTGGGAGGCTGCTTCTCCCTCTGCTTCTCTCTCTCTCTCTCTCTCTCCCCCCACCTCTGTCGCTCATGAATAAATAAATAAAATCTTAAAAAAAAAGATTTTATTTATTCATTTGAGACAGAGAGATACAGAGAGAGAGAGAGAGAGAGAGAGCATGAGCAGGGGGAGAGGCAGAGGGAGAAGCAGGATCCCCACTGAGCAGGGAGTCTGGTGCGGGACTTGATCCCAGGACCCTGGGATCATTACCTGAGCCAAAGGCAGACGCTTAACCGACTGAGCCACCCAAGCACCCCAAGAGCAAAATGGTCTGATCATTTTGATTGATACCCCAAAAAATAAAAATTAAGAAATTAAAAATAGGGCGCCTGGGTGGCTCAGATGGTTAAGTGTCTGCCTTCGGCTCAGGTCATGATCCCAGGGTCCTGGGGTTGAGTCCCGCATCGGGCTCCCTACTCAGCAGGGAGCCTGCTCCTCCCTCTGCTTCTCTCTCTCTCTCTCTCTCCCTCTCTCTCTCCCTCTGTCTCTCATGAATAAATAAGTAAAATATTTAAAAAATTAAAAAAAGAAATTAAAAATACAAAATGTCCACACACATTTAATAAAATACAATACTCTTTCATGATTGGAAAAACAAAACAAAACAAAACAAAACAAAAAACCTTCTTACAAGTGAAGCAGGAAAGAAAACATCTTTGGGGCACCTGGCTGGCTCAGTGGGGGGAACGTGTGGCTCTTGACCTCAGGGTCATGAGTTTGAGTCCCACATTGGGTGTAGAGGTTACTTAAATAAATAAACTTAAAAAAAGGAAAAAAGAAAAGAAAACATCCTGAACGTGACAAAGTCTCCATCAGAAACCTACAGCTACAGCAAATGCTAAACTTAATGGCCAAGTGTTAGAATCATTTTCTTTAAAGTCAGGATTGAGACAAACCAAGTTGATACCATGTTATGTTTTTTTAAAGATTTTATTTATTTGAGAGAGAGAGAGAGAGAGAGAGGAAGAGAGAGCATGAGCCGGGGGAATGGCAGAGGGATAGAGAAGCTGAGCAGGGAGCCTGAAATGGGGCTCAGGACCCTGAGATCATGACCTGAGCTGAAGGCAGACACTTAACCGACTGAGCCATTGCAATAAGTAGAAAAGGGTAGTCATTGCAGTAAGATGAAAAAACAAGAGGTATACATCAACATGAAAAGAGACAAAATGGCATTATTTCTAGATTATATGATTATTCACTCAGAACCTCCAAGATCAACATCTTAAAAAATGCTTATGGCTTGTTAAAGAATCTAACAAGGTGGTAAATTAGAAAGGAAACATGCACACACACAAGCCAGCAGCGTTCCTATAGATCAGCAATAATAAATTAGGAAATATGATAGAAACAAGATATAACTCACATTAATAATAAAAACGAAAAAGGTACTTAGGAACAAATTGTCAAAATGCACAGGGGAAAAAGTCTTATGAACTTTATTAAAGGATATACAAACATTGAACCTATAGAGAAACAACTTATCTCCTGAAAATGATGAAAAAACTCAGTAATAAAAAGATATCATTCTCCTCTGAATTAGTTCCTTTTGCTATTCCAGCAGGACTTTTTGTGGGTATGCTGATTCCGAAATTCATCTGGAGGAATAAACATACAAGAATAACTAAGAACACTTTGAAATAGAAGAAGAATGAGAGGAGGACCTCCTGTTATCAAGACATACAACAAAGATACCAAAGATATTACTTATAATAATAAAAAATGAGGGATTGATGTAGGAATAGCCAAATAGGTGAGGAAACAGAACAGAGAGTCCTGAAGTATGTCCCGTATAAATAGGAACTTAGTTTATAATAAGGATGGCAATCACAATTTATGGGGCAAAATGGTGTTAGGACAACTGGCTATCAATTTTAGGAGGATATTCAAGGTGGTTTAAAAATCAAAACATTCTTAAAGCCTTTAAACAACAAGAGAAATGTAAAAACGTATTTTTTTATTTTTATTTTTTAAATATTTTTTAAATTTATTTATTTGAGAGAGAGAATGAGAGAGCGAGCAAGCACATGAGAGGGGATAGGGTCAGAGGGAGAAGCAGACTCCCCGCCGAGCAGGGAGCCCGATGCGGGACTCGATCCTGGGACTCCGGGATCATGACCTGAGCCGAAGGCAGTGGCCCGACCAGCTGAGCCACCCGGGTGCCCAAAATGTATTTTTTTTTTTTATTTTATTTATTTGTTTGAGAGAGAATGAGAAACAGAGAGCACGAGAGGGAAGAGGGTCAGAGGGAGAAGCAGACTCCATGCTGAGCAGGGAGCCCGATGCAGGACTCGATCCCGGGACTCCAGGATCATGACCTGAGCCGAAGGCAGTCGCTTAACCAACTGAGCCACCCAGGCGCCCCAAAACGGATTTTTTTAATCTTGAGTTGAGGTAGGCCTTTCTAGGGAAGGCCCCAATCCCAAAGGTCATAAGGAAAAGATTAACAGACTATAGATAAACAGATTTATCCATTAATAAGCAGATTAACAGATAAACATTTAAATCTTTGGTATACCCCAAGAAGCCATAAACAACATTAAAAGACAAATGGCCAACTGAGAGAAACCATTTGTGACTTAAGCAAAGAGCAAAAGATTAATACTGTAATATATAAAGAACTTCTAGGGGCGCCTGGGTGGCTCAGTCGTTAAGCATCTGCCTTCAGCTCAGGTCATGGTCCCAGAGTCCTGGGATCAAGCCCCGCATCGGGCTCCCTGCTCAGTGGGGAATCTGCTTCTCCCTCTCCCACTCCCCCTGCTTGTGTTCCCTCTCTCGCTGTTTAAAGACACTTTACAGATAATTATAGTTTAGAATTACGAAGGAGGTGGGAACACCTTAAATATCCATCCCCAACGGATAGTTGAATAATTTCGATCCATCTTGTACTTGGAAGCTGTTGATGAGGCAGATCCGTCCTGATGCAGGAAGACAATGTATGTACCAGGCACTGTTCTCCATGCTTTATGTCCATTTAATCCTTCCAGAAGCCCACTGAGGAAGATACCGTAATTTGTGCTATTTCACAGACAAGGGAACCGAGACATAATGGTGTGAGTCATTCATCTAAGACCACACAGCTGGTTGGCAGAGCTGGGATTTGAACCCCAGTGATCTGGCTCCAAAACCTGTGGCTTGACCCTGACCCTAAGTCATGCTTCTATATGACTGTGATATGGGGAGAAAATCAAGCCACAGAAAAGCGTTAAACAATCTCATCTTTATGAAAAGTGGAAACATGTTTTGGTGCATAGGAAAAAATGGTGACATTCGATGAGAGAGAGTTTTGGCGGTGGGGGAAATGGCACTTCACTTTGACGCCATTCTTTATATATTGCTGGAATTTGTCACAGCAAGCAGGTACTACTGCAATTAAAAATAATATCATATTTAAAAGAAAAAACATATTAAATATATTTTAATATTTCTCATATAACATAGTATATCTAGTTTATATAGTCAAAATATCCTTATATTTAGGGCTTACTTCTTTGTTGATGCAGTGTTTTTTTTTTTCATAAGTTTCCTTTAGTTCAAACTATTATCTTGCAAAAATGAGAACAGAATGCTCATGCCCCACATAAATGCCTACATTCCAAAAGCATTAATTTATCGCTTTGGAAGGGATCTGATTTTTGTGCATTTGGAAGTACCTGTTTTTTACCAGGATTCTGTAAATAGTGTGGCTAAAATGGCTTGAATTTAACACCTGACATACTCCCTAAGAGAGATTTTGCCCATCTGTTCCTTGGTGTCTGGATTTCCCTTCCACAGCTCTTCATAAGATGTTATGCTGGGTGCAGAGACTCAAAGACTTAGTAAGCCCCAGGCTAGCGGGAGCACAGACACCTCCCGAGGCAGAAACCAGGGAGACATCTTGGACACCCCCTTTTGTCACCTTGTCGCTATTGCCAACCTGACCATCAGTCTGACCTCCTACGTGTTGATCTGGTCCATCCACCACTGTGGAGGACACAAGCACCTCTTTCCTCAATGTTTCCAGCAGCCTCCTGCGGGCTCTCCTGCTTTCACCCCTGCTCCCATCACTGACCACCCCACATGCAAATCAGACATGTCCCCATCCCTCCACCCCCACCAGCCTAAACCCCTCAATGTCTCCCATTTCTCCCGGGAGGAGGACCAGAATCCTCACTGCCGTCTACCAGGCCCACAGCCCAGAGTCGACACCACCTTCCTCCCCCTTCTTTTACTTCCTCAAGTATATACCAGGTTCCCTCCTGCTCTGGGGCCTCTCATCCCCCACCCCCTTCACCTCTACTCAGCTTTCAGCTGTTAATGTCACTTCTTCACCGGGAGGCTGTCCCAACACCCGCTTAGACCTCTGTACCCCCACGACTCCACCTGTCTGTGAGGAGGCCTGTAAGGTCCCTAGAGGTAGAAACGGGTGTCCCTTTTGGAGTATCCTTGGAACCAAGCACAGAGCCTGGCTCACACAGGTGCTTACTGAGCACTTGTTGAAGGAAGGAAGGAGGAACAGCGGGAGGGACCCTGCTGTATCACTAGATAGAAGGTGCCAAGGCAGCGGAGCCTGTCTCCGTCTGGGAGGTGAGGGAGGCATTGCAGAGCAGAAGGAGGCCTTGAAGGGTGGGAGGGAGAAAGGACATTTCAGACTGAGGCTCTGCATGAGCCTGGTGTGGAGCCCTGTGCTTGTCAGGTTAGAGAGGGGAGGCAGAGATAAGACTGGAGTTGTGGATGAGCCCGGGCGGGCAAGAGCTCTGCATACCATAAAAGGACTTGAACTTTCTGCTGTAGGTAATAGGAGGAGCTGGGAGGGTTGTCGGAGAATCCCTCCCCACTCCCTTCCCTTTTCCATCCCCTCTTCCTTGCTTCCCTTCCTTCTGCAGACCGGGAACAAAGTCTCCGAGGGCCAGATAGCATGCTCTTGGTTGGACAGGAAGTGGCAAGGGATTTGGAAGGGACATTGCTCAAAGGGCCCTTTTTCTTGGCCCTGTCCCCAGATGTACAAAGCAGAGCTAGAGTCGTAGAGAGAGCAAGAGTCCCTCCCCCAGGGCCACCACATTCACCCAGAGAGGTGCCTGGGAGCCCCCAAAGCGCCCAGGGCCCTGTGCCCCAAGGGTGCACACGAGAGGGAGAAGTTGGGTCAAGGCGAGACCCCTCAGGGAGAATGACAACTCAACAAGTATCTGGGGGAGGATGCCTGAGGCTCTGCGCCTTCCCGGGTTTCTTCTGCACTGTCTTGGCCTCAGGACCATGGATGGGTTGACTCCAGGCTCCAGCTCTGTGGCACAAATAGGCTCCACCTTGCCCGGGGTCACCTCTCTCTGAATAAGGTTGGTGAGTAAGGGGGCTCAAGGTGACACCACGGTCTGAGGATTCGCAGCCTCAACCTTCAAATTCCCAGCGTTGCAAGGGGAGGGCGTGGACTCCTGCTGAGGGCAGGGTTAGGGGAGCCAAGTGCCCACAGGACCTGGCCTGCAGCCATGTCCATGGGCTCAGACCTCTGCTCCCTGGCTCCTCTGCAGACATTTCAAACCTTTCAAAATCTCAAGACCATGGGACCTATTGGCTTCTATGTTCCCCACCCTGTTCTTTGGGCTCAAATTTATACTTCAACAGCATTCACTGAGTGTCTGCTCTTTGCAAAGCCCCATGCTAGGCTCTTAGTCATAAAGATGAACAATTCATGATCCCTACTTCCAAGAGGCTTATAGTCTAGCTAAGGAGGGAAACCACATTCAGAACGATATAAAACTCTAGTTTAATCTACTTGGCTTTTTACTATTTTTATGTCACTGACATATATAGGGCATGACCTCTATGCGTGCCCCCACATTCTGTCATCTTTGGAATCCTTGTTTATTTTTTCCTCCAGCACTCTTTTGGGGTTTGGGATTGTTTTGTTTGGCTATAAAGAAGGTTAGACATGCTTCAGCGTCTCCTCACAATTTCCTCTGCATTATCAACCAGCTCTCTCCTCTGAATTAGATCTGCCCCATCCCCTGGGTAGGTAGACCTTTCCGAAGTGAGCTGGAAGCTGTCAAAGGATGTGGCTTCTGAAGAGAAGTCAGGAGGCTCCCAGGCCATGAATATATCCTTGATAAGGGTCTGCAGTCCCACTGTTAAAAGGTTATTCCTTTGAAGGTGCATGAGCTCCTGGAGGGAATAACAGCTTAAATAAATCCTGAACATTTATCAACTCTAGCGGGGATTCGTTTATAGCCGGGGGGTGGGGGTTGGGGGGTGCCATCTTTCCAGGACCCACTGATTTCTCTAGATTTTGAGGTCATTTCAGTTAGTTATTGCCATGTAACAAACCAAATTGATTTATTGCTTCTCACAGCACTGTGGGTTGGCTATGTGGGTGGTTCTGTTAGTCTCCCCCGCAATCACCCATGCGGCAAAGGTCATCTGACAGGGGCCAGGGGCCCCAGCATGGCCTCATTCGCATGTCTGGTGGTTGGTGCAGCTTGCCAAGTCTCCCAGTGGTCTGTCATCCTCCAGCGGGCTCAGGGAACTTCATCAGGGCAGGGCGGTCTCAAGGTTATGATAGGGTGATGGTAGAAGCTGGAAGACCCCTTTAGACCTAAGCTCCAGATTGTGCATGTTATGTCTGCCCTATTTTGCTGGTCAGAAATGTCACGAGGCCAGTCCAGATTCAAGGAGATGGCAAAGTAGACTGGACTGCTCAGTGGGGGGGAGCAGCAACATCCCATAGAAAAGGGGTGCAGACACAGGGAGATGCCACTCATTGGGGCCATTATTCTAGCTATCTACCATAGAGGTCTAAAAGATGTAACGTTGGGGCGCCTGGGTGGCTCAGTTGCTTAGGCAACTGCCTTCGGCTCGGGTCATGATCCTGGAGTCCCGGGATCAAGTCCCGCATCGGGCTCCCTGCTCGGCGGGGAGTCTGCTTCTCCCTCTGACCCTCCCCGCCTCATGCTCTCTCTATCTCATTCTCTCTCTCTCAAATAAATAAATAAAATCTTAAAAAAAAAAATAAAAGATGTAATGTTATCAAGTGTTTGCTTCAGGACAGCAGGATTGATAGAGGAGGTATAAGCCCCTATTCTCTGCCAACATATATTTCCATGATCTTTACCGGGGTTTTGTTATCCTTTGCCAGCAGAGACATAGCCTACAGATCCAGTTCGCTTGACTCCACAGAGCTCATTAAACCACATAGCACCATTTGGCTGACTCCTCCCCCACCTTGAGTCGTCAAAGCACACTCCTCACCAGGCCCCGGGATGTGTGGGCAAACTCAATCGGGGTGGGGGGTGGGGTCCTGATTTGTAGCATTTGGCAGATGCAGCCAATTGCAAGCTACCAATGTGACATCGTTGAATGGAGTTTGGAATAGATATGAGTCATTGCTTTTTGGCCCTGTACAAGCCAGCTCCACACCTCTTCCTTATCTCTAGAATTTTCTAGAAAAAGGGAATACAGATTAAAAAAGAAAAAAAAAAAAGCAAAACCTTTCTTAGTGCCAAAAGAATAAAATGTGTTAAGAAGGCACATTCTTGTTTCGGAAGATGGGGAACTCCACAGCCACTAGGCAAGCCATGGGAACCCTGGAATCGAGGCAGGGTCTGAACGCACCCCATGGTATCTTTGTGTGGGCAGAGACCATTTCTGAAAGGGTGCTCTCCTAACAGACAGTGGTTATTTCTGGAGCTGATGGTAGGTGGGGGTGAGGGACCTGTCTTGATGTATTTCTGTACTACCTTTGCTTTCTTACAGCAAACACTCATTCGATTTATAATTACATAACTAAAACTGAAAAAGCAGATATTATAGACTCATTGAACATTACAGACTCTCTGAGTCAGATAAGTCAGGGCATTTGCCCTGGCCAGGGGCACAGCCAAGACTAAGACCCAGGTCTCCCGACTTCTGATTCAGAACCCTTCCCCACAGCCTTTGGGTTGCCCCACTCCACACAGCTACAAATTGGGAAGAAAGTGATCACCGTACCACTGAAAGCTCATGGAAGTTTGGAGAGCCTTACCTTGCGAGACTGGACAGAGACCGGAAGGCAGCCCACTGGGAGTAGCTTCTAGGACCCTTTGGGGACGTGCTCCCTGACCCCTGTAGGAAGTCTGACCCACCATTACTGTCAGTGAGCAGTGAAGAGCAAGGTATGGAAATCATCGGCCTGAAGGGTCCCTCCCATCTCACTTACTTTTAGACTCTCCTCTTGGAAAACTTCATCACCAGTTCTAAATCAGCTGATTGAAAATTCCTTTTTTTTTTTTTTTTTGGTTGAGAGTTTAGTGTTTCTTTGATTTATTTTCCCCTTTCTTGTGTCCTTTTGCTTAAAACAACCTTTGGACTTCAACAAAGTCAGTACAAGGCCAGCCCAAACTCAGTATGAAAACAAGCAT